AAAAGATCTGGATATAGTTCCCAGAGACAACATTCATGTCATTTTACTCTAGAAGGATTAAATATCTTAAGAGATTTTTACTTTCCAATTTCACATTAAGCAATTTTTTTGTCAAAAGATAGCAAGTTCCCTAACGTGAGGATGTGATACAATAAACCTAATAAACTATGTTTTGCTGCAAATCCACAGTGAAATAAATGCCTGCTTGGATCTTAAACGTCTTGATTTCCTAGATATGAATAGATACAAATATGAACCATGGAAAAATGAAGAATCTCATGAAATAAAAGGCTTGCTCACTTACAGGTCAAGGGCATAGGTCACTGTGCCATTTCTGCATCCCCAAAACTCCCAATGCACTTTATTTAAATGTAGTAGGTGCATAATACCTTCAGGTTCAACAACCTATTAAATTAATTTCAGCCTGAAAGGGATTTCAATGGTGTTCTAGTGTATTAGTATCATTTTGCAGAGGATGAAATTGAGGCCACAAAATTTTAACAGGCTATGACTACATATCTAATTTTTGTGTTCAGCCAGGACTATAACCCAAGATTCTTAATTCCCAGTAGAGAATTATTTCTTTAACTAAAATAAGAAGTAGCATTTATTGAGCACTTACTGTGTACCAGCCTCTTCATATACATGATGTTTAATCTTCAGGAAAAAGCCTGCAAAAAACGTACTATCCCCATATTTTAGTTGAGGAAACTGAAGCTCAAAGAACTTAAGTGTCTGGCTCAAGGCAAAGTGCTGGTAAGCAGGAGAGCTAATGTTCAAACTCAAATCTCTCTGCTTCCAACACCACTGCCTTCCATGTCACACCATATCAATGTTCGTTAATAGCATAAAGCACTGATCAGAGAAGGAATTGTGTGGGCTTGCTAGAGAAAGCTAAAATCTTTTACCATTTTGCTTAAAAAAAGGTAAAAAAAATTTTCAAAATCTATAGCCAATGAAGTGTTCATACCCAACCCCTCTATAAAAGTAGATTGGTAATTAACTTAGAAAAGGAATCTATTCCTGAAGAACACCAGATCTGAAAGCTGCATAATGGCAAGTTACCTCGTGCTCAATGAATCACCAGGTGCAGAATCCACATCTCACTAAAGATGAAGAGGTGGGCAGATAAGAGAACAACCAAATCACTCCTCAAGGGAAAGAGAGCAACGTGACAGGCACATGTGACAGTCCTTGCTTTTCAACAAAGAAATGGAACTTCCAGCTAAGACTATGCCCTATCCATCATCATCTGAAATCCACCCAAGATAGGATTATTTAAAATACAGATTCCCAAAGTCTGAGTTTTTCTGTCCTACCTTAAAGTCTATAAGACAAGCCATTCTGTGGGATTTGGGGGTCAGATCCCACTGGGTGCCAATCTCTGCTTCATCACTGAACTGTTGCATCCTCTGGGTAAGTCATTTAGCCTTCCGGAGCCTCAGTTTCCTCCTTTACATAATGGGAATAATAATATCTACTCACAATATTTTTGTGAAAATTAAGTGAGATGATGAACGTAAGGCATCACGCAAAAACCTGACCCAAGTTGGTACTCAGTTTATCCACTAAGGTTGGATGGTCCATGTCAAGTCCCAGAAGAACTAAAGGCAAAGAAGTTCGTGAAAATCAACCAGACCATCATGCTTTATGATAAATGCTCTATTAAAGAAAACATAATGGCAAATATGTCAAGTAAAAGCCTCTGTTAGCAAATCTTATAACACCATTTCCAGTGAGAAAGGGACAAGGTGGTGAACTGAAATATTCAAATTGACTCCAGCATAGAAATATGAAAAAGAGATATTAACACTTGCCACCTACCTATTACCTGACAAGGATTTTATAAGGATTAATGAGTGTAGCACTTTGAAATTCCTTGGAAATAAGGTCCCATCACACACACATATATATACACAAAAATATATTTTAACAAACTAAGGATTACTTTATAAATTTAGATCAGGGCACAGCATGCCTCGGATGAGTAGGGTAGGAACAATATGTTCTTGCTTACGACACCAAGCTCATGACAAATGATTCATACCCAGCACCTTTCATGCCAAAAGATCCCCCCAGGTGTTCCACCAACTCTGGCAACAGTTTCCATCAAGCTAGACTGCAGGAGGAAGGAATCACATCACGCCCACGGAGAAGGCAAAACAGTCATGTCTTTACACAACTGCACAAGTCCAACAGTGGAGGGGCAGGAAGGAGATGGGAAGGGGGTGAGGGAACCATCAGAATTTCTCACAAGTTTGACAGGCAGCCTATAATTACCATACATTTACACTGTTAATGCAGGTGTTATTGGAATCAGGAGCCCTACTTAGCAAAGGCTTTTAGCTAAAGGTGAGACAAGTTCAGTTCCCTATTGTCTGCGGCCCTGAATGTGTTGAGGGCGGATTTACGGGGGACGACATCTAAATGTGAAAAAAATGAGAGCCCCCAATCCTGTCCTCAAGTGTAGGTTAGCGGATTTCTCCCTCTGGGGGAAAGAGAAGTGCTGTGAGATGAGAGTTTCAAACAGGTGTACAGTACTTTACAGTCACCATGCCCTCTTATGTACATCCTGGCACATAATTCTCTGTAATGAATCCGACAGGCATTTTGGAGATGAGGAAATTCACACTCGGAGTGCAATCAACTTGCCAAGATCAAACCACAAATAAGCAGAATTAGAACTCAGATCTCCACTCTGCGTTTCATGTCACCAAGTGGCCCAGGAAAGTTTCTTTCTGCCTTCTTCCCCTTTAAAAACTATTTTAAACTTTGTCTCTCCTATGAATCTGGGCCAGCTTTGTTTTGGAGGACCTAGATAAAGACTATTGCTCTCCCTCTACCATCTGTACGTATACACTAAAAAAACAATTTATGTGTAGGCAGCAGGATGGGGGTTGGGGCGGCTGTCCTCACAGAAGAAGAGACTTCAGGGGGGAGAAATCTTATTAGTAACATGATTTGAGTGCTCAAACTTTTAACATGCACCACCTCGATTATTTCCTACATTATCTCAGACTTCCCTGCACGTCGCCCATGCAAGCTCTGACCTTAATAAGCCCAACTGGGTTTATAAGCACCATTCAAAAAAAAAAAAAAGGCTGGCAGTGCTTGGCACCATATCTTAAATGAAGTTTAAAATTTGCCAAAAACATACTCTCTTGTTCTCACTCTTTCCAAGCTCTTTCAAGAGATGAACTAAAGTAGAGGTCTAATGGGTGAGTGATATTTTACAGCTTGAATTACATTAAAAGCCAGAAATATTTTGAGTCCAAAATCCTTTATTTCTTGATACAATAAGATGTAATATGTTTGATGTGTTTGCAATCTCCCCTTAAAGCCAGAAGCTTCGAGTTAAATCACTTAAAGCAGTGCAAAAGCTATTCAATCAGTTTAAGAAGATTCAAATTCAAATTGGGGGATTAATTTTAGTGGTTATGATATAAAAGATAGGATAGTTAAGTTAAGGCATGAGGACAAGGATCTCCAGAACTTGAACGGAAAGAATTTCGGCTTCAATTACTTGATTAAACCTCTCCTGAGAACCATATAAAACCACAGCCTCAGTCATGAAGGCTGAATTGTAGGCAAGATCCTGCTGGTGCTCTCAGGACGGAGACATAATACAAAATACTATTTATCACGATTGCCTTAATATAGTTTATATCTATGTACCCGAGAAATTCATAATGACAGACTATTATTTTAAAATGTTCATGACTTTCATTAAAAAGCTGACAACCAGCACAACTCACTAAAGTGGCACTTCCTCTGTGTCTAGGAAGGTTTCTGGCAATTACATCACAACTGAAAACATCTGAAAGGTACCAGGATGTATAGACTGTGCATATTACAAATACTACAATCTCAATAACCTGACAGAAGCTGAAACTTTGATTTTTTTTTTCATTGTACCTATCCTTAGTTTTTATGTTTTTCTTGTCTGCCTAATGGCAGCCAGGAGAAGTTTCCACAGTTTTAAACAGTCTTCAGTTATCATCAAAGCTGGTTCTTTACTATTTCCGTTCATTGAAATTTCCAGGTGCCGTTTAAACTAGAATAGCTACCTAAGATTCCAGACATGCAGGCTTTGCCAAAAATCTAAAACCTTCCCTGATGTGGCCAAAGCTCATGGATTTGCACCCACTCTCCCCAGTGTCAGCCTCCTGGAATCCGGCAATCCCTCTCTTCCCCTCATAAAGAAAAAGCTAAGCCTTTATTTGTGCTCTTCACTAGAGGAGGTCAGGCAGTGGGGGAGAACAGGGAGTTGTTGTCACTGGGATATATCTGATCTTCCTGGGACTGATCACGCCAGAGAACAACCACTCATTCACAGGCTGGAAAGCCCCAGCTCTCAAAACACACTGGCTTGTGCTGTTAGAAGATGCTGGAGAGTTCCCGTCCTGAAACTTGCATCCACTTGGTCCCCAGAAACAGAGAATACATCAAGGGCACCTTATCAGCCACTGTCCATTGCATTTCTCTTCCCTTGTGGGTAAGAGGAGGTTGGCAGCTCTGTATAAAAAATAAAATTAAAAGCCTACAAACAAAGCCTTCTTGATCTTACCTGAGCTCATCCACAAGTCTAGCAAGTAAAGGGAAAGTCACTTGAGGGAATGTCAGCCAGCCTGGAAATTTAACCCTTTCACCTCCGCATTCAGAATACTTTGACCCCCACCCCTACCCCCCTACCCCTGCTTGCCTGGTCTTCAGGTCCATACTACACCAATGTGACCAAAGAAACAGGAAATAGGGATTTACCTGACCCTTTAGAAGCGTTATTCCGGTTTGGAGAGGACTCTGGTTGTGTTGGGGGCTGGGGGTGTTTGGTCATCTAATAGGTAACATTAACTCCTGAGGGAGGTGAGCAGGGAAGACCTTAGTTTGCAGCGTCTTTCAAGTCCAGAAACCCCATTTCCCCAAATTCTCCATCAGATCACAGAGCCCACTTTAACCCTTTCCATCTCTCACCCCTTTGCCCTCAGTCCCATTCTACTCACGCTGCTGTTGTGGCCAGACCAGTGGACCATGGCTTGGTTGTGTGCTGAGTCGCCTGTCAGCGCGAACGTGGTGCTGGTCAGTCTCAGCTCCTCCATCCGGAAGCGAGTGGCTTTGTCCGGGTCCCGCTCCAGAGTCCCAGGCTCCTGCTGCCCTCCGTCCCTTAGCACTCCCCGGGGGCTTCTACTCGTGCCTTCTCCCCGTTCTGCCTTCTGCTGATCCGCTGCACTCCGTCTCCTCCGGCCAGAGCGGGGAGCAACCGCCACCGACGCCCCGGTGCCGGGGGCCCGCTCCAGGAACAGCGCTCGGTCTCCCGGGGCCACTGCGAACAGGGGGCGCCCAAGGAGGGGCAGGGGCGTGGCAGGAGCCCTGCCTCGCGGTCCCTGGTGAGGAAAGCCCCCTGGGGTCGGAGCCCAGCGCTGGGCCGAGCTGGGGTGCAGCGGGGGACAGCAAGAGCCGCCGCCGAAGGCGCCCGGGGCGCAGAGGACCAAGAGCCCTGCGCCGGCGAGAAGCGCGCTCAGCCGGGCTGGGGAGCCGCCGGCCGCGCCAACTTTTCCCATCGCAGGAGCAGAGAGGAGTGGAGAGAAGGTCCCGGACCGGAGGTGGAGGCGCGGTGCTCTCCGCTGGCCGGCTGTGGGGGACAGGCGCTCAGGACCCCAACTCCATCCAAGTTGGGCCGCGGCGGGGGCGGACGGAGGCGGCGCGGGGCAGGTGGCTGCCGCTTGTCCAGGCTGGGCTGGTGCCGAGCGCGGGTTCGGACCGAGCGAGCCGCCGCCACGCGGGGGTGGAGCTGAAGTGAAGTCACGGGCGGAGCGGGCGCTGGCGCGCTGGCAGGCGACGCGGGAAGGAGGGCGGGCGCTGCCGGGGCTCCCGGCGCCGCGTCCCGCT